CAATTATTTTGATGTGTTTAACTTTCTACATTGATGATGATAATGGAGGGGGAATTACTTCTCTTGTCATACTATTGTGCCCTTGATTTGCTGCTCTTGAAAGAGAGTTCAACCAGACCAGTTCGTGTCAGCTGTTCAGTTCACGCAGATAGCATGCATGTGCCTTGTTAAAATATGCGAGGTATATGTAAATTATCCACTCCCTTTTTTGACATTTCATTTATATCTGGTGCACAGTATGGTGGGTAACTATTCCGACACAAAATATTCCCAGTGGGTAAAATACCCACTTGGAATTTGGGGTGAGAGAAATATTCCACAAACGTCAAATTCCAGAAATAAACGAAGTTTCTCGCTATTGCATCAACATGAGTGAAAAAATGTATTTGCAAAAATTGTGAAATGAGTTATAACAAAAAATGCAAAGGGCAGAGCTGTTTTTGCATTGCAAAAGTGAAGTGCTGAAGTTACATAAAATAAATGAGAACAGTTTAATAATAAATATAACAATCGAAAAAATTGTTTTGTATTTTTGCTTCACGTTCATTTTGGATGGGAGATGGAGGAGGAAGAGGGAACCCACGTCTGTCGACTACCTATACAGACATAATGCCGATCACTGTCCATCCCGGCGCATACTTATAAAGTGATCCATTTGGTCTTCTGTACCCATTTCTAAATTACACATTTTGTTACTTGATACCATAGCAGAGTGTTGTCTGCAAATTGCGATTTCAACTTTATAATGAGAAAAAAGGTTTCTTGGCATTCAATTAGCAAAAACATGTCTTGTAGAGCATCAGTTATTGAAATGTGGATATCTTGAATGATTTTCATTACTACCTACATAATAGAGTAAATTTTTCTCCTTTTTAACAAAATTTGGATATGGCCTTTCAGTGAAAGTTAGTGTTGCAAGTGACTGAACATCACTACTTTCCCAGTCAGATTGACCTTATCAGCCGTGTGAACTAGCAAGCAACTTCCATAGAACCGAGAATGCTTTGAAGAATTGTAGAAAACTTCATATATTGTATTAGCACTGTTGACCTGTTACAGTATCAAGGTCAATGGTACAGGTAAGGCCAATCAGATTCACGTCAGTCATCATCAATTTCATGTACAATAGAACTAAGGGCCTTTTTAAGACCACAATAGTTATCAGCTACACTGAAAATTACCTTAGGTGCCATTGTAACACTACCAATTCTGAAAGTTCTGGTAAACTATTAAATTTATTTATCCATTGTACCTGCTTGGGTACAATGCAAAACCGATGCTTGTATTTCCTCTTCATTCAAAATAGAAACTAATCTGGCATTTTCAAAGTACTCTTAACCTAACTATATGCAAAATAATGAAATTGTAACAGAAAATGTCGGCAATGCAATGATTTCAAATTCACCTAAACAGTGAATATGCAACCTGCAAAATCTTTGTAGAATGTCACAGTTTGTATTGTTACATGTTAAAATTACCTTTTAAACCGTCCTGTGAACAACATCAGATATCAAATTAATCCATTAGGTGCAAAATCACTATGACGTGCCAGAACTAGGTAGTAGTCCATATGCACATGTGAGTGTTCAGTAGGCGTTAATGGGTTAAATAGTTAAATATGCCTAAAAAGAAATGTACAATAAAAATTATTAAAAAAAGATTTTAAAAGTCAAATTTTAATCGGTCAGAAAGGTACATTTTAGTGTGTACCTTCACTAAAAGCCTATACTAATTATCTTCATTAGATAAATATTAATTATGTTCATTAAAATAGAAATATCGTTACACATCCAATGTCTTGTAATAATGAAGTTCATAATTTGAAATGCATTCTTGCTTATGTCCAGTTGAAAACATTGTTCGTTGAACATGTGCAGGGAATGATGTTAGCTGCAGCCTGTTGTGTATCAGCTGATGAAGAGGAAGGATCTTTTGAGCCTTCTATTATTTCCCCCAAAGATGATGTCTCACAAACCGGCGTTTTGTTTCCGGGCATTACAGTGGACTGTTTACCTGATGAGGTCTTGGTGAAAGTGTTCTCGTACCTGCCAGCTGAGGATCTTGCATGGGAAATTCCTAAAGTGTGCAAGCGATGGGCACGAGTTTCAGAAGATTCAGAAGTATGGAGGAATAAGATCTATGAACCAGCTTCGTTTACTCATTACCTTAGCGTAGCGGATTGCTTGCGTCGCGTTCCCAAACTTGAAGGCCTCAGCATCTCCCATTCCGCCCCAATGGAGACCGTGAGAAATGTTTGCAAGTATCTTAACATGTATTCCCATAATATTAAGTACTTGTCCTTGCCAGTTGAAGTAAGCAAGCGTTTCCCCCTAAAGAGCGTAATGCCTAAGAAATTAGCTTGTCTTGTGACATTGAATCTTAGATTTTGTGAAAGTTTTGTGGTTAGTCAGTTTTTGGACCTTTATTCTGCACAAATTGTTACGTGTGTGGGTCTGTGTCAAAATTTACAATCTCTGACTCTTGGCGGACTAATATCATGTGATGCTGTTGCCTTTAAAGCTATAGCAGTTGGTTGTGCCAAACTTCAAATACTGGATGTCAAAGCCTGTGAGATGAATGCTCATGGGGGATTAAAATGCTTGTTAAAAAGGGAAAATGACACAATAATTTCATTGGGTCTGTCCTGGAGTTTACAGAATAACAAGAGGACCCTGCCCCTGATTGCTAAATATTGTCATAAGTTACAAAAATTAAGCATTATTGAACCTGTAGGGAGATATCATTTTCAACCACCTTACAATGTGACATCATATGATGTCGCAGCATTGAGGCATATGACTCATCTAAAAGAGCTAACATTGCGGCGCATAAAAGGTAACATTCTGGAAGAATTTATAGAACTAATTGTGAGTGGTCTTTTTAAGAACTTAGAGAAACTAGATTTCAGTTACAACTTGTGGGTAACTAATATTTTTCTGGTATATATTTTCAGAAATTGCCCAAATTTGAAGTCTCTGCACTTTCGATGTTGTTGTGGATTGACTAGTGATGCTTTTCCTTCTATTGCTCTTTTGAGACACTTGGAGTATTTAAATTTAGAAGGGTGTGAACGTCTTAGAGATGAAGCAATATTTCATATTGTCAAATGTAGAAAACTGAGGTATTTAAATGTAAACAGAATTTTTGCATTTACCAGGCTTAGTTTAAATTATTGTAGCGAGTTTCTCAAGTATCTAGAAGAATTGCATATCATGTTGCGTCCTGTGTATGATGAGGATTTAAAGAAAATTCCCTGCCGACTTCGTCTATTTTTGAATCATATGACTGATCGGTGACTTCAAGATTTATTCCTTGAGATTCTTCTAGTTATAACTGAGGTGATTAGAAAAGACTGATCAATCTAAAGTACAGGTCTTACGATGTACAAAGACTATACTAAACTAACTATATTAAATCGTGCAATTGCTCATTGATTAACGTAGTAAGTAAAGTTGTCATTCTAGTTTTAGTTCATCAAGTGTTACATTCATTTTGTTGATGTTTATGAATTTATCCTTATAAGTTTGTTGCCTTTTGCAATGCATTTTCAAAATGTGATACAAAAAGATGCAAATTGTTATGATTTTTCAAGCTCTCTGTACCTGAAGATATAAAGGAATTAATTTGACTAGTATACATTAGGTTGGTAATAAAATTACTAGATGGTAAATTTAGATCATAAAAGCCTTTATAAATTGAGTATTTATGATGTTGAAAATTGAAGATCTTTATGAAAATGAAGCTTTTATATTTTGTTAATCTCTGCGTGCCATATGCAAAAGAAAGAAGTTAAATGAAACGTTCAATAAAGAATAGTGTGATAAGTTGAAAATGGTAATGGCATGTAAAGGCTGATAAATTTTGAATAACCCAAATTTCTTGTCAGTAACTACATACCATTAAATGATAAAACTATGTACCAGAATATTGAAATGTAGGCCAAGCATGTTTGAGACAGCCTTGCTAGCAATTGGCTCCCATTCTGTACAATATAATTCTCTTATCCTCCTGAAACAGGAATCTCCTTCAATCAATAAAGTTTCTCCTATGAACAGATTGAGAGCATCATTCTCTCTTAAATTTGTTTGGCCTACAGTTGCATTCACTGGCACATAGTTGTACTATTTGACAGTATGTAACAAATGCACTTTCTAAAACAATCAGTCGAACAAAATGTTATGTGTGTAAGTAATTAGGAGGGACTGGATTTCAATGCTAGTTCAGCTTTCCACATTAACCACTAAGTGTGCACACTCGGTATACACATGAAACACCCCCTTTTCCAATTATTAGTAGTTACTTGAAATTAACTAATACTATACTTCAAAATTTAATTGTGCAGTGTAGGGAGAATGAAGTGAAGGATGATTGTGTGCCAGTATAAAAATTGTGAGAAACAATATTGCATTTAAAATTTATGGAGCATATTTTTGAAGTTTTTATTGCACAAGTACTTACATGAATAATATATTTCTAGTGCATACAAATCTCGTCCTTAGTTAACTTCATGGATCTTAACTTTATAACTTTATTTTCACGATGTAATGGAGCAAAACAATGTTGCACTTGTAAATAATGTGAACGTAGTGTCATGTGCATTTCTTCATTCTTAAGCACTATTACATTTTCACTTAGTGTTTTTGCATTATAGTAGGATTTATTTAGAGCTGCATTTGAAGTAAATCAGCTGTTGACGGTTTCATCCAATTGCGAGCTTAAATGTCACCACAGTGATGTTATCCTCCCAATTGGATGAAACCATCAACAGCGAATTTACTTAAAATGCAAAAGACTGATTATTTTTTATAAATAAATATAAATTTAACTTTCATAAAAGTAATAATAGGGGGAAATTGCCTAAATTTTACCATTGAACTAAATACACCTGTGTATTTATATTGGGGAACACATTTAGAGAAAATCTTTATGCAACATTCTTCACTTTTTTTAGGATAGCCTTCTAAGTCAAGATGTATTTTCAAACATTAAATTATATATTAAATTAAATGTAACTAGCTGAACGAACTCATGTGCAGATTCAGCACTTTATAATCATTATTGTTTTAAAAGGGGAAATAGCTTCATAGTGGAATCCTCCTTTGAATGGTCAGTTTCAGAACTTGCTTTACAATAGGACACTTGTGTGGTGAAATTAATCATTCTAATATTTCTTTATTTTGTTTATTACAAGTAGACGTCCAATACAATGGTAAAAAAGTCATACTACAGTTAAAATTTATAAATAATGCATTATGCAATGTAATGCAATATTACAACTTATCAATAAAAAAAATCACTATATCGGAGGTTTGACAGTTTGATATTCCTGAGCTCAAAAATTAAATTGGACATAATATCAAAAGATACATTTAATTTTATTGCGAAATATCTGGTTTGTGAAGGATTAGGGGCCATATTTACAGACAGACAAATTTTTGTGTGCAAGAAGTAAAAATTAATTACATGGCAATAAAACAAGTTGTACTAATTTTATTTGTGTTACGTATTAAAATTTTTGGTAATTGGATGTCGGAATTATTTGGTGATGCACCTAAGATAGGTGACAATTATTGTGTGAAGGAAGGAGGCATAGGTGAGGAGATTTGACAAGCCGTCATGAGAGTATAAATATTTTAAATGGATTCTAGAAGGCTATAATATTTCTTTCATAATCGAACAAATTCAATCAAATGTTCTTGATAGAAAAAATTCTGTTCATTGTAACAACATCACAACTTTTTCATTTTTATATTGTTTTAAATTTAATTTATTAATATTTTAATATAAGACTGAATAAAAGCAATTATTTCAGAAAATGAAGAAGACATTAAAATAATTATGCGTATTTATTACTCGTTCACTTTATATTTGCAGACGAAGCGCTGCGGTCTGTTTACATAAGGTCACCGCCGACTGAATCATTCGCCTGTCTACAGTAGGTACAAATCAAGTAGATTTGATGTAGATGGCCGTGAGCCGGATACACAGTGAACCCGCACAGTCCTGCGCAGTGCCAGGCCGGGTTTTAGAACGTATCACTGTTTAATAACTTGTCAAGAGAAAATTAAAAACGTATTTATGTGACTTTTGTGAATGACACGGATTGTTGTTACTATATTATTTAGTACATTACCTTAATCATGAAGAAGGGGCGAGACTCCTAAGTCACTGCCAGAGAGGTGCATTTCGTCAGCTGTGTGTGTATCGCCTGTACTTGCAGGCTCAGCTGTCTGCGTGGATCTGGAATTTCCTGATGTACTAGATTCACTCTCGCAATCGTCACTATTTACTCCCACGTTTGTTATTACAGTTTCTATGGCTTCTTCCATTAAACCGTCCCGATGCCAGTACTCTTCCATTATTTCTTTCACTTTGTCACAAGCTTTTTTTTCCAGTCTTGTTGGGTAATGCTGCCTATTGCTGATTTAGTTAACTGGAAGAGAAATGCTGCTAACATTTTTTGAGGCAATTTTTTGTTTCATTGTATACCAAATCATTTCTATTGTATTCAGATCACAATGATAGGGAGGTAGGCGTAAAACTGTGAATCCATGCTTTTTTAGTAAACTGTCTACAGAATAAACTGGTTCGGGTTTGTGAATTCTTACTCATTTTAAAAGTTCAGCCCTTCGTAAATCAGGATTGAAATTAATTTTGTGAGACTGTAGCCATGATTTGTAGCCTAGACTGATTTGCGAGATGAGTTTGGAACTTTATTTTCTAGAACAGTGATAAGATGCGTTATCCAAAACGACAATACTTCCGTCTGGAATGTTTGGAATCAAACGCTCTTTTAGCCATTTATTATAAATGTCTCTATTCATTTCGTGATGATAGTCCCCAGAAGCTGATTTATAGTGATACATCAATTCAGCCTTCTCGATAAATCCCATCTCCCCACCTGCATGAACTACTATTGCCCTTTGACCAGCGCTTTCATTCTTTAGCACACTAGGTACTTCATTGTGTTGCCAGCACTTATTAACTGTGTAGTGGGTGTGCACCCAAGTTTCATCTGTGTAAATCACAGGTCTCCGAGCACCTATGTCATTCTCTCTGAGTGTTCTTAGAAACGTTGCCCGACGTTCAACAATGTCTCCCCTCTCCACTAACACTGATCTTCTATTTTTGAAATTTGAAACCAATTTCCTTTAATATTTTCCAGAATGTTGTTCTTCTCCCAGAGAATTTAATGTCCGGGTCTTTTTTAACGGCACTGTAAAGCTTTCGAAGAGTCGGAATTTCTCGCTTATCCTCATAATATTCCAAAAACTTCCTTTTCACTAAACACTTCGAGAAATCATCTAAAAAAACTTGTTCTTCTCAGGTCGCTTTTCCTTGGGTCAAAACTTTTTACGCTTGTTTTGCTTTATGTACATGTTTATTACATTGTCACGTTCTTAAACTCTTTCCTACTAATGCTCGGCCCTGCTGTCCATAGGTTCTGCTCATTAATGTATTAACTAATCCCCCTATTTCTTTTACTCGCGACAATAGTTCAACATCTGATGATTATTTTTACTAACCATAAGCATGCACATCTGCTTATTATACGACAGGAGATTTATTTTTCATAACAGAACAAAAAATATCGCGCACGTTTCACAGCTGGCGTGAGTCGCTTCGGCTCTACTCGTAGATATTCAGGTGTACGCTCGGGTCCCCGGCTTTCAAAGCATTAGTTCCTAATTCTGCCGTGTGCAAATTTAAAGTGAACGCGTAATACCCGAATATATGAGAGGTTGTTTGTTGTTTTTTCCTTCGAAATATCTCGGTCGAAAAGTGCGGGGTGGTCTTATATTCGCAGATTAAGCCTAGTAGGTTATGATTTAAGTTTTTACATTGCCACTCCATGACATGAAACCCGTAAATGTTGACGTAACTCTACACTGCGAAGACAGAAAAAATATCGCGCGTATCTAGAATTTGTCATTTTATCCGCGTTCGTATTCTCGGCATCCACCGCGAATTTGTCGGTCAACTCAGACCGATAATTGTGAATAGGCCGGAAAAGAGAATCTCCGACCGAATGGCATTGTATCAAATGAAACGTAACGTAAAAATGAACGCTGAGTTTGTTATTAATACAACACGTTTGTTTTTAATACACGTTCGGGTTCGACGCGGCCGCGCAGAATCTCGGTTATACGCGCGGCGAATACGAATCTGCGTAAAATATTGTGGCCATCGAAATGTTTTCGTTTTATTACTACATATGTATTGTTAATTAATTATTGATTCCAGATAATGGAACGTGTTAATGAAAGTAATTTTAATCGAATTTGTCGTTCATTGT